TTGGTGTACTCTATTTCCTTCTATGATCGAAGACAATACAACAGGGTTAAATCTTAAGAAACTTAACAGCTTTAAAAACATCTCTGATTTTATTTAACACCAAAGTCTCATCCATTGTTCAGCTTTCTCTTTGTATGTACGCCTGTATATACACATTTGCATGCTTATATTTGTAACACAAAGCATAAATAAACAACTATCTGGACAAAAAAGTACCAAAAGTTTCGAATTATTTTGAGTACTTTTGACCAAATGAAGGCAGAGGAAATTAGATATAACAATTCATATTTCATTTCATATTAAATACGTATAAAATATAAAATTATTATATTAAAATTTATATGGATACCCTAAACACCAAACACATTTCTTATTTTTCTCAAACTCATATATGTTTTTTTTTTTTATTTTAAATTGTATCTTTTTCTTTTTTTTTTCATATTATTTTCATATTATGTTGTGTTCATATACATTTTTATTAAAATATTAAATCATACCGATTTTATATTTTTTATCATTTTTATATTATGTCATCTTGTTTAAAATTATTAGATCCGAAAAAAATTAACTATTTAGTGAAATACAAAATGAGTACCAGCGTAATACTTTTTTTAAAAATTATTTATTAGCATTTAAGTATTTGATTCAATAATTGTTAAGCATCTCTCAACTGTGTGACGATCTCAGTACTGCCATATCCCGAAAGATGACACCGTAGCAAATGTAAGCGGAATAACAATTCCTAGCTGCCTGCAATCACAAGGCAAGACTTGCATCTCACTAAATTAATGTGAGAAAATATCAAACCATTATTAAGTGGACGCAATATTGGAGATAAACTAGATATGCATGTTGAAGAACTTTAAGAGCCCATGCGATTCCTCATTCCGATATTCTCAAGCGTTTTCATCTCCAAGAATTATAATTATTCAATTACAACAAGGCATGTACTAATTAGGAACATTTTAGCTAGGCTAAAGTCCCTATCATCATTTTTCATTCATCATTTACCACAAATTGCCTTTACGATTCCAGAATGCACAAATGTGTTTCACTAAACATTTCTGCCATGAATTGCAGAAGCCTGAGATAACTGACTCTATCAGAAAGGTTAGCCCTCTTTTACCAAATCAAAGCATGAGATGGTCTTTCTTATTTCATCCATGGAACAATCTTTTTGCTGTTTAGATGGTGGTGACCAAGAGTTTGTTATTATTTGATTAATAAATATGTAACCAGAGCTTTTGAGTAATAAGAAACACCTCATTTTCGCTTTTTGAGGTTCACATGGATGTGGATTCTAGCGGAAAAGTTGCCGCCCATTATCAGGTAATAGACATGTTAAAAATAGTTACAAGTCCAATATAATAATAATATTATACAAAGATGAAGATGTTCTATTATTACTCCACATTTTATGGCTTTATTTTCCAGCTAATTTGTCCATGGTGTTTGGAAGCTTCAAGCAGATACCAAAATTAAGCTCTAAAGGGGTGGGGATGGCAAACAGCTCTATTGTTTGATAAGCATGTTGATCTTGTTCAAAATGGGGCCTTAAGAGTGGCTGCTGTTGTGCAGCTTGTCTGAAATCAAACAAGAATGTCAGCATTTTCATCCAAGCATAAATTGCTGATATTTTTTCTTTTGTTTCAGGTATACAAGGCAGCATCTTTTCTCTTCTTGCTCGTTTGAGTTGCTTGATCAATGATAATTGAAATTTTGTATCTTAGATTCTCAAAATCAAGTTGTAAGTTTGATTTTCACTTACAACATTTTTATAAATACTTTAAATGATGTTCTGTATTAACATTATTGTATTAAAAAATTGTCCTCTACATTATATTAAAAGTTGTCTTCAAGTGTTGATTTTATCTTACTTTTGTCAGAAATATTAATTGGTGTTAGATTTTGTGAGATACATAACTGTATCTATATTTCTATCTTAATTCTTTTACTCTTTTTTGTAGATTTTATTATTTATATTTTGGTTCACTAATTCTTTCTTTTAAAATTGTTATCCTAATTGTTATTATGAAACTTTAATAAATTTTGAATACAGATTTTATTATTATTTATTTCTTCTTTCAAGATGTAATCGAAAATTAATAACCGATTAAAGTATTGATATATATATATATATATATAATTTTTCACTTGAATTTCAATTTGGACCCCTTCGATTGGTAAGTTCAGCCTGCAGTATGTTTTCCTTACATCAAAAACCCCGTTGAAAGGTCTAGGATTTATGCTTTCAATCAACTATTTTAGTGTACTTGATATTTTGCTTTGGGATCGCACTTTAAGCAATGAGTTAAGTTAAATCTTATTATGTTATTAAATTTTGCATTGGATGAGGATGCAAGTTCTGATGCTTGGAAATAACCATCTTATTGTCAGATCCTTTGGAATTACTGATTGTCTAACTTTACTTCTAAAAAAAAAAAAAATTAATTATGATTCGTCCATAATCAACAAATTTGAAGATTTTTATTGTATTTTTTTGTTAGTTCTTTCTTAAATTTTGAGTGAGGATTAAGAGAAAGGAATAAAGAGAACAAGTTTGATTTGATGCTTTGGTGATTCGATTGACGACGAATTACAATGCAAGTAAGTAATACTCAATGGACTAAACTTGGATTTTGTATAATTGTTTTGTTAGGCATTTTCACTTGAAAAGCCCTTTTTTTTTTAATGGATTTTGAAAAATTTTTTTTGGTGGTAAGTCACATTGTTGTATAAGTATATGATGAGGAAGAAAATGCTATGGAAAATTGGGTTTCTGTAAATGGTTGTAGCTATTATTAAAAAATAAATTTTTTAAAAAGATTTTCTGGAAAAGAAATTATTTTTCAGTGTTTGGATCACTTTGAAGAAAAATATTTTCTTTACTATTCATCCCCTTCTTCCTTTATCTTCTCTTGTAAATCTTTTTTTTAAACTCAATATGCTACATTTTAAATATATAAAAAGCCACAAAATAAGCAAAATAAAATAGCCAAATAATAATATTTGAGAAAAAAAAAGAAAAGAAAAGAATTTTCTTAAAATACCCATAGGCTACAAGATTAGCTTAGAGATTAAAGCTTGAAAAGGAAGATCTAGCGAAAGCTTGTGGAGAAGGAAATGAATTTAATGAGATCTTGTGAGCTTGTGGAGAAGAACGCTTTCTCGTTGTTGCCATGGGGAGCTTTTTTGCTTTTTTGGTTTCTTATTGTATTTACCGGAAGAGAAGAAATCGAGAAGAAATGGAGTGAAATCAAAAGTTTAGAAGAGAGATTTAGTGTAAGAGAAAGAAATTAGGGTTTTTTTTTTTTTTTTTGCTGGATTTGTGAAGATTAAAATTAAATAGTTGTGCTTGACTATTTAGAGAAGAGATTAATAGAGTTTGTTGGAAGAAATTGTCTTTCCTTCTTTTAGAATGGAAGACAATTTTCTCTTTACTATTATCTTTTAATTTTAAAATAATTTTTATTGACTTTAGTCATGCAAATTAGGATCGGTAACCTAATCTGGTTCTAGTAAATTTCGATCCGACCAAACTCTATAAGATTTGTTTTTTTTTTTTTAAATTGAGTTTCGGGTCGGATTCAAATTTTAAATAAATTTGATCTAATCTGACTCGATATTTATATAAAAATGATTTTTTAATTAATTTTTTTAATTTTTTTATTTATATATATTTTATATAATTATATATTTAAATATTTATATTTTAAAAAAAATAATTTATTAATTTCAGATAAAATCGAGACAGGTACGATTTACATAATGTGATGTCGAGTCAGGATAGGTATGATTTATACAATATCGGATAGGGTATAAAAAAATAAAAAAAAAATTTCGAATCGATTCGCATTCAGATTTGATAAATACAAAATCAGGTCGAGTTCGGAGCCAGTAAAAACTCGTCCCGATCCAACCCATTGCTAACCCTAATACAAACATTAAAAAATGCAAAAAATCATTTCTAAAATTGATTTTTTGTTGTACCAAACAAAGCTTCACTTTACTTAGATTCAGTTAGTTTCGTGAATAATAATTTTTAAAATTTTTTTTATATGTTTAAATATTTATTTGATAGAAAATAGATTAATAAAAAATAAGATTATTTTTTAAAAAATTATTTTATAGATTTGAAAAAAAAAATTTTTTTTAAAAAAAGTTATTTATGAGTAAAATTATTTATGAATATTTTTAAACATAATTTTACTTATAAATAATATTATATTAATAAATATAATATTAATAAATAATATATTAAAATATTAATAAATATTATTAATTAATTAATATTAATATAATACATTATTAATAAATATATATTAATATATTAATAAATAATATAAACAATAATAAATAGTTTTGTTTTAAGTATTTTTTATATTAACATAATATTTTAATATCAAAATTATTATTAAAATATAATTAATTTTGAATATCAATAATTTTAATAATAAATAATTTCAATATATTTTAATAATAACTCATTTTTAATATTTTAATAATTATATTAATATTATTTGAAAAAAATTTTCAAAAAACAACCAAATAATGAAAAACATTTTTAATTAATTCATTTAAACAATAAAAAAATCTTTTTTAATTCTAAAAATATAAATATTTTTTAAAAATTATTTTTAAAAAAACTATTTTTCATGAAACAAACCAAATCTTAGTGTTCTTCATCCTTTTTGTTTTATCCATTTTATTAGTGTAATATTTTTTTGGTTTACTTTTTCAAATTTGATTGGTTTGTTGTAATTTTTCATTATAATTTGATTTAAACTTTATAATACTTTTTATTGTATTTTTTCTGATTTATTCATAAATGTTTAATTTATTATTTTTAAATATTTTGTTATTTTCTAATTAAATTTGTTTAAGTGAAAGCATGTACCACAAGGGGCAATTTTCTAATTTTATATAAAAAGAAAGGACGGCTTTTCCTTAATTATATAAATTTTATTAAGTAGAAAAATCCATCCAAGACACAGAAGAGCTTTTAATTGTCCATCAACGACTCAACAGAACGGCTCAGTCCAAATAACTAGTTGTCGCCCATTGGGCAAAGGCGAGGAGTTCAGCCCGTCGAACTTTCTTGGAACCACTCCAAGGCCCCCACGAAAAATACTTTAAAAAAAAAGAAAAAAAAAACTAAACCAAATATTCTTCTCCCATTACAAAGAGGGCTTCAACAGCGGCAAAACCTCCGGTAAGGAAGAGGCAAGGAAAGTGGGTCTTAAAACGGGCTTCGAAACAGGCGAACAGCTGGGTTTCTAAAAGGGCTGTGTCGATGTGTTGAACTCCGCTATCCAAATCAACGCAAGCCGGTTCTCCAGTCGATTCCAAAAGGGTATTAAGCAAATGCAGCAATTGATAAAAAATACCCAGTTTCGGATCCGGCAAACGAAAGCGTCCAAGAAATTGTGGAAGCCTTGACTCTTTAAGTTTGGATTATACGTGCAGCTTTGGGTGTTAAATTGGAATATAATGACACCCAAAACCAAAGGATATCGAATTTTGATTTGGGCCACTTCATTTTTTTAGGTATTTTAAATGCCAGGTATGAAATGTTCTTTTTTTTTTTTTGTTTTTAATTTTCTATAAAGATAATGAAAAGAATTTTTCATTGAATTTGAAAACCAATTATCCAAAGCTTCTTTTGTTTTTGGTACAAACAAATAAACCTGGGCAAATATACACCAATAATGACATTAGGCAGATGTATTTTTAGTATCCATATCAAGCACTTGATCCTGGCTTCTTATTATGTGCCTTTAATTGCAGCCCTGTTTTCCATTAATCATTGAGTTGGCATTTTCCCACGTTTTAAGTAGTGCTAAAATTTTTCATGCTTGATCTGTTTCCCATTTATGTTTGGATCGGGTTTATTTTTTCCCCATTGTTTTTCTGTTGTAAGCAAACTTAGATGTAGTTTATTTCTTGCAGCCTTTGTGGTCCCCATTCCCAACATAAAATGTGGTTGCGCATTGTCCTTTTATCTCATTTTATTATCTCTATCTATCAGTATGTCCTTTTATTTATTATTATTATTTTTGCAGTTCTTAAGCAAGCTGAAAGAGCAGAAAAAAATGTTGAACAAGATGCTGGCTTGTGGCAAGGTGTACATTTCTGAAAGCCGAAATAGAGCAGCTTTGGAGTGTATAGAACAAGCTGCCAAGCTATTCCCTGAGGCTGCTATTGCGAATAAGTTTATAGATGTGACGTACAATAGAGTTGGTTATACAGTTGTCTCCAAATTGACTCCAAAATCATCTCAAGATTCATGTCCTCTGAAAAATGCAGTGTTTGCTATTGTTAAGGCTGCTTTGGAAACCATCGACTTTGAGTTGCATTCTGGGACTCATCCTCGACTTGGAGTTGTTGATCATATATGTTTTCACCCCTTGGCACATACTTCCTTGGACCAGGCAGCTGCGATTGCAAAGTCTTTGGCAGCAGATATAGGCTCTAAACTTAAAGGTTTCTGCCTTTTGAACCAAATGTGATGTAGATGTTGCCAGTATTAATATTGGTGTTAGATTAGTGAGTGGAACTTTGGAAAATGATTTAGCAAAAAAATTTGTTGATCTGCAATATTTATGTGAATAGTGAGTTTTTTACCATCCTGGAGCCTGGAAGATTCCCTTTTTCAATCAACTAGTCTGTTTACAGTAAGGCACGGTAGACATGGATTTAAAGTTGGTGTTTCTCTGTTATTTTGTTATAGTTATTTGGCTTTCTAAATGACTGCAATGAACAATTGCTTGTTCTCTCTCTCCATCTGGAATAGGCCAGAGGCATGGTCTGCATGTTGCTTACTGTACAATGACTCAATATAATTTTTTCTAGTTTTTCTTTACTGATTTAGTGTCATTGTATCATCTTTGTTACCCTCCTTTATTGGAAGTTGAAAAATGGTCTATTAGTATCAAAGTTTTGTGCATAAGAGAAACTGTATTTTTCGATTGTGGTTTGGTACTTTGTTATGGTAATAGTTGTGTCAGCAAGTATTATTTATTTCCTGCTACTAAAATTTTACCATTTTGTATTTCTAATGGTAACTGCAGTACCTACATTTCTTTATGGGGCTGCCGAAGAAAGGGGGAGGTTGCTTGATTCCGTCAGAAGGGAACTCGGTTATTTCAAGCCTAACTCTGGCGGTATTGAATGGTGCGGAGGGCCTAAATCAAAGTCCTTGCCACTGAAGCCTGATGCAGGTCCAACTCAAATGTGTCCAGCAAAAGGTGTTATTGTGATTGGAGCAACCCATTGGGTTGCTAACTACAATGTCCCTGTATTCTCAACAGATATTGCTGCCGTTCGTAGAATTTCAAAAAGAGTAAGTGAGAGAGGAGGTGGACTTCCTTCAGTGCAAGCCATGGGACTTTCACATAGTGATGGTGTGACTGAGGTGGCTTGTAATATGTTGGAACCAAGTAAAGTGGGAGGAGATAGAGTTCAGCTTGAAGTTGAGAGACTTGCAAAGGAAGAGGGTTTGGATGTAGGGAAGGGATATTTCACCGATCTTACACCGGACAAGATTATTGAACGTTACATGAAGTCGAGTTCTTTCTAAATGATGGATGAAATATGGTCTTGGAGGTATTTTTGTACTGATCATTTATCTCAAGGTTTCCTGTGATTCTTTTGCTTAAAAAATATGTTGTGCGATCTTATGAAGAATAGCATACATCATTTACATTCGGAAGACTCCTCGTTATTTGAACTCCTTTCGGCATAAATATTAGCTACATTTCATGTAATCTAATTTCTTGCTATGATGAAGAGGTGCTTCAGTCAGAGACCTAAAAATACTGATCTGACGGTTGGATTTTGCAACTTTTCTTTAGCACTTAAGCTATTAGTGCCGAACGAAGGGGAGGGGAATATTTTGGGTTTCTTGTCAAGTTCAAGCCTTAGAAGACAAGAATAGAACAAAAGATTGTCTAGCACCTTACATTACAAGCCAACTAGCCAAGTTATGTAGAGAAAAATATTGTCTAAATCTCAAAGCTTTTTTTTTTTTTTCTTCTTTTTCAAATTTATGGTTAAGTTGTGAGGGGAAAGGAAGGATCCGAACTTTGCATGTAAATTCGTAGAACATATAACAAGATAATGATAATGTGATAATCCAAGACACCATGGTTTGAGGAATGATTTTTGAGCCGGCAGTAGCTACCTCGGTTCAAAAGGACCCATATCTTGATTATATTGTTTTCTAACATCATATTCGTGTTGCGGTATATTCACAGGCATTCCTCTTTTATTTCGTTTTTTTTTTCAATGTGATTTTCAGTATTTAACCTAGAGTAGTACCATTCACATCTCCATTTCTTCTCTTCACACCTCACTATTATTAACACCTATTCTTTTTTCTCTGCACAGCTCAAACCAAAACACTAATTTATTAAAAAATCCAAACACCTCATACTCCCTCTCTTCTTCTTCACTAAAAACCTTAAACCTTTTTTAGATTAAGTCCCAAGTCAAATTTCAATCACCAATTTAATTTTAGATAGCTTAAAATCATAAGTAAATCATTTTTTTTTGTTTTTTCATTTGATTTTGTATTTAATTTTTAAAGATTTAGAATTTTAAGTTTAAAAGTGCGATTTGAAACAGTAATTTATGCATTTCGAAAATTAATTTTTAAAATTGTTGAATGTTTCCGGAAATATATGTTTGAAAACTTTTTCAACGTATTGGAAATTTATTGAAGTTTTTGGATAATTATAATGCTTTCTGAAAATAAATTTTTAATAGAGTTAAAAAGTTTTTGAAAATAAATTTTTGATATATTAAAAATGTTTTTGAAAATTCATTTTCGGTAACTTACTAAGAAGAGTGTAAAAGACAAAAAAATAATTAACTAATATGTATTTAAATAAATTTCTTGTTTATTAATTTTTTTATACTGAAAATTTTTTGGGATGCAAGGAGAGTATTTTGGATGTAAATAGTCCTACTCTTTAACTTACTAAATAAGAGAAGAGATGGTAATGCAATAGGACCCAAATGGAAGGGTTTAAATGGAGCCGTTTCTGACCTCTTTGGTACCATTTTCTGACAGAAAGCTTACGCTGAAAGGCAGACTTTTGGACGCTTCTAGTTTGTCTTTTGTTCTACAATGTGACAGAATGATCATTTGCCAAGGCCGAAACATTTTCAATATTTTGATCTCTGAAATCTGTAGCACCATGCAGTTCGTGTTTGTTTCTTTCCAGGCTTAAGGAGTCTTCTCCTTTATGATTTTGGATTTGCTATCAGACTTCGGGGGCCATTGTCTTTTTATGTTGCCGTCCAAATGTGCAAATGCTGACTCATAAGCAGCGACGCTGCCCTTTTTTTTTATTTTTTTATTTTTTCTTGTTTGGTGATCATTATGCAGCATTTGCTTGCTTGTACCCATATGGATCATATGTGGATTTGCTGTATCCTCAGTCCTGAGCTTATGTAGGATAAGGTTTCAGCAACAAACGTAAAATACAAGCAAAAGAAGAGGCAAGCCCCCTTTGGCTTTTGTAGCGGTTGCTAGGTGCTAACGTGTTTGATGGGAAATTTTCAGTTTGAAGTGAGAAAGAAGATGAGAAACCACGACCAGAGGTAAGCAATGGATCTTAGCTCAAGTTGGAAGGTAGGGTCCAGCTGTTTCTAACTCCACATTTATCGCACGTCAGTACATCTCTTAAAACAAACAAATTGACCCTTATTTTCACGAATGCTGAGATGAGATGAGTAGAGATGATCAATTAAAGTACATGTTAGGGATTTAAATAACGGTGTTATAATAGAATAATGATTGTGAAATTAAGGTAGCGTTATTATCTGTCATTATTATTGAGGAAAGTACGATTAAAAATTTTAATTACACTTAAAACAATATTTAATGATCGTTAAAAAATGACATAATAAGGAATAGCGTAATAACAATCTGTTATTATCGTTATCTCATTTTTTCATCAATATAAATTATAAAAAAAAAAAAAAAAAGCTTTCAAGTTTCAACAGCCAAGATTCTAAAAAAGCAAAATAAAACAATTAAGATTGTAAAAGCAAAAGTAAAAACAAAAGCCAAAAAAAAGATAACTTAGTCAGTCGGTCTTACTCTCATATTCTCTTTTCAGTTTCAAAATTTATCTTAAAAACTTTAGAAAATAGTATCAACTATCAACCATTAAATCAGCAGCTACCTAAATTCAAATCAACTTCAAATCTTCAATCAATAATAATAAAAAAAAGATAAGAAAAAATTAAATTATCTTTTTTTTTTTTGTAAAATTTTTATAGAATAATGTTGATTATTGTGTTTGTGAGAATCTGAGTGAAAGAGACGATGGTATGTGAGAGAGAGATATAGAAAAAAAGAGTTGGCGGAGTTGATTTGAAGGATCGACGCCATGAAAAAACTTGAAAAAGAACAGGGAAAATTTATGGGATTGTTTGAAAGAGTCTCAAAAAGTGGGAGGTGTTTAGTCTTGTCTCAAAATGAGGTGATGAGTGGGGGTAGGGTGGGTTTCATTGAGAGGTAGGGTAGGGGTAGGTGATTTTTATTTAATTTTATAATTAATTTTATTAAAATATAAATTTTAAAATTTTAAAATTCTTTTTAGATAAATTTCAATTAGAAAGATTAAGATTTTATAATTTAAAAAATTAAGAGATTAATAATTTAATATGAAATATATAAGGATTTTATATGAAAAATTTTAATAATTTTTTTTATAAGTTAGATGAAAAATAATTAAAATTAAATATTATATTTTGATTTTGTTATTTATTAATTTATAATTTTATATTTGAAATTTAATAAATTTTTTATTGTTTTGGTATTATATTGTTATCAATTCTTTTGCTATTAAATTAATTCTTATTAATTTATTTTTATTTTTATGCAATTATTGAATATTCTATTTATTATATAATATATTGAAAGTAATTTGTGATAAATTTTTTTTACATCAATTAGTATATCAAAATGATTGAGTTACTTAATAAATTTAGTGTTTTACGATATATTACTCTTAAGATTAAAAATTAAAAAATTTAATGTAAATTTAATTTTTAGTGATGGAATAAATAACATTAATATTTCTAAATATAGGTTTATTTTATTTTTATACAAAATAGCAAGCATGTCACTGCGTTATTTAATTTTGTAATTAATTTTATTAAAATATAAATTTAAAATTTTGTAATTTTAAAAATTTTTTTGGATAAAATTTAATTAGAGGGATTGAAAATTTATAATTGAAAAAAATGAAAGATTAATAATTGAATATGATATATACAGAGATTTTAGATAAAAAATTTTAATAAATTTTTTTGTATAAGTTAGATGAAAAATAATTAAAATTAAATGTTATATTTTGATTTTGTTATTTATTAATTTATAATTTTATATTTGAAATTTAATAATTGTTTTGGTATTTATATTGTTATCAATTCTTTTGCTATTAAATTGATTCTTATTAATTTATTCTTATTTTTGTGTAATTATTGAATATTCTATTTATTATATAATATATTGAAAGTAATTTATGATAAAAATTTTTTATATCAATTAGTGTATGAAAAAGATTAAGTTACTTAATAAATTTAGTGTTTTACGATCTATTACTTTTAAGATTAAAAACTAAAAATTAAAAAATTTAATGTAGATTCAATTTTCAATGATGAAATAAGTAACATTAATATTTCTAAATATAAGTTTATTTTATTTTTATACAAAATAAAAAATATGCCACCACATGAAGAGTTCCCAAGAAAAAGAGCAAAAGGCGCACCAAGTGATGATATAAGTTGGTATTTTGGAAAATCCTATGCCAAATATAAAAGAAAATATTTTATGCAAACTTTGTGGTAAAGTTGTAAAAAGAGGAATAAAACATTTCAAAGAACACATTGCTCATAAAACTGATAATGTTGCACCAAGCCCCAACGTTACTAGTTTGTTATGTTTTTATAATTCCTTTGAAAATATTATTGTTAATTTCTCAATAAAAATTATAAAATTACATAAGCATGTGCAACTAATTTTTTTTCTTTTTCTTAACTATATTATTAATAGGTTTAGTAAAAGAAAGTATGATGAAACTTTTTCAAGAAAGCAAATCAAAGAACATTGAGAATAAAAGGAGAAATGATGAATTCTTATCATAATTAATAATAGAAGACTATGACTATGAAGGTTTTATTGATGAAGACATTGCTACTAGATAAGCTATACAAAATAGTATCCAATCACAATATGAGTGGCACAGAAGACAAGAATTCAGACAAAGAACTGGTGGTTTGAGTAATATACATGAAGAGGGACAAAGCTCTTATAGCTCAGTTACTGAATATTTTGAGGAAAGAACAACGAAATTCACTTCAAGTGAGTTTAAATTTTCATTTAAAAGGGCTATACTTTAATTAGTTAGAAGTAAGAGTTCAAAATAACCAAAAATTAGTGATTCATTTTTAAAGACATTAAAAAGGAAGATGGGTGAATTAGTATCAAAATTTTTTATATGTGATCGACTTCCTTTTCGCTAGCAAACTCTTCATGGTTACATAATTTGATTTCTGTGACAGTAGAAATTGACTAACATGTGAAACTTCTAACACCTTATGAGGTTTCAAATGTGTATTTAGAGTCTGAGTATCAATAAATTCATGAATGGGTTAATGGATTAAAAGTTCATTGAAATGAATTAGGTGCCACTTTGATGTGTGATGATTGGACTAATAGTTTGAATCAATGCATATCATTAATTTCCTTGTTTACTATAGTAAAAGGATGATTTTTTGAAAATCTATAGATGTTTTAAGTGTTAATAATAGAGATGCAAACTTTTACTAAGATTATTGGATGAAGCTATGGAAGAAATTGGGAAAAAATACATTGTTCAAATAGTCACTGATAATGAGGCGGCACTTAAGGCTACAGGAAAAAGACTAATGGAGAAGAGACAACATTTGTATAGGACAACATGCTCAATTCATTGTTTGGACTCGTGCATTGAGGATATTGGCAAGAAAAAAAATGTGGCACAGGTTTTGGATGATGCAAAAAGTAACTTGTTTTATATACAATCCCATTTGGACTATTAATTTGATGAAGAAATATATACAAGGAAAGCGAATACTTCATCTTACTCTTACCCAATTTGCCACTCATTTCGTACAGTTAGAAAAAATAACAAGGCAAAAGTAAGGTTTAAGAGATATGTTCAATTCAAAGGTTAGTACTTAGTAATTAGTATAACTATTTAAATCTAGCATCTTTTTATGATATCATTGTTTAAAATATTAATTTAAAATATATTACTCTAAAAAATTATTATTGAATATATAGGAATTT